CATCTCTGTGCCCCAAGAATCTATCAAGCAAGGAGGCAGTCAGTCGAGGACGGTCATTGCATTGCAGAGTTGCCTCCCGCATCGTGCTGCACAGACACACGAGGAGCCTGTGACTTCTCGGAGTGTTCAGCTCCAGTGCGGAGTCACCTGTGATATGTTTGATTTTGTCTTTGCGCCTTTTGGTGCTCGGTGCCTCAATGTAGACTGGCAGGACGTTGGAAAATTGCCGCACCACGTCCATCGCTTTGTCAGCACTTTGCCCAGACTTGACCGAACGAGAAGTGTTCAGGCGATCCAACTCTTCGTTGATGGTTCCTTTTTCCCTGATAGGGGTTCTGGTGCATCTGCTGGCTGGGCGATAATTGCGTTGGGGTTTCAGGACGGCCTTTGGGGTTGGATGGGCATTTGTGCTGCGCGGGCTCCTACCGAAGGCTCCGCGACGACACTCAGCGCGCCGGTCCATTCCTGCTTTGAGGTCGAGTTGGCTGCCATCTGCCATGCATTGGCGATTGCTTGCGCCATCCCTGTGCCAGTGCTCATCGGATATGATTCTACGGCAGCTGGAGACTTTGCGCAAGGCAGGGCGGAGGTCGAAATTCGCAGCAGCCTCACTGATGCCATTGTTTCCCTTACTCACCTCTTGGAAACGATGTCGAGACGGCCCCACTTCCTCCACATCCGCTCACACACCCAGCATCCGCTTAACGACATGGCCGATGTCACTGCTAAGAGTGTCGCCCAGGGTGTTTTACAAGCCCATGTCCCGGACACACTTGCGCAGGCGGCTGCTGACAATGTGCTCAGCTGGCTTTGGGTTGCTATCGGCGCCAATGCCTCCATCCCGGCCCTTAGTTCCGGTGGCGTTCTTGTGGACCGCGCTCCGCCAGCTAGAGAGCCCTCCTTGGCCCAGGTCTTGGATGATCAGCCAGAAATTGGGGAAGCTACTCTGTCGTTTCGTGTGGCCACCTATAACTGCCTATCTTTGGCATCGCATGCACAAAAGGAATCGCTCAATGGACAGTTCCGACGCTTAAAAGTCGGCATCGTGGGTCTACAAGAGACGCGTTGTGCATGTGAGACCAGGCAACATACTGCCGACTTCCACGTTCTGGGCAGTGATGCATGTCAAGGCCAACTGGGCTGTCAGGTCTGGTTTTCCAAGCATGAGCCGGTTGGCTGGCTACGAGGTCGGCCTCTCACTTGGGACGCTGCCAGCTTCAGCGTGGCACTTCGGGAGCCTCGACTGCTTCTAGTTTTTGCGCGCCTAGGATGTTTTAAGGTTGCTGTCCTCACCGCGCATGCACCGACTTCTAAAGCGCCCACGGGAGAGCGCAAGAAATGGTGGGCCTCCCTTCACAGAGCCTTTGCTATGATTCCATGCAACTGCCTACCCATCGTGTTGATCGATGCCAACGCCAGACTTGCTTGTGGCACCGATAAACCCCACGATAATGCTGGTCTGCTCGGAGCCTTTCTCAGGCGACATGAGCTTGCTCACTCTCCTTTCTCTACTGCCGATGGCATTGAGCTTGCCTCTTGGACCAGTCCCACTGGCCAAAAGGTTTGCATCGATTATGTTCTATTTCCCAGGCTGATTGCGGAAGGAGCTTCCTCACATGGTGTTGTCACCACCTTTGCTGGACTCCTAGAGCATGACCACAAGCCGGTCATGATTGACTTTTGCCTTCGGCGCACAGTATCTTGTTCAGAGCCAAAGCCTCGGCTCGACTTACAATACTTGCGCACCGATCCTGGTCGCTCCGCTCTCCGAGATCTCCTCCATAGTATGCCTGCTGTGCCATGGGAGACCGGGGTTGATGACCACTTGGCGGCAATCAACATGCACATCAGTCAGGGACTCACTCGCATTTGTCCCAAGCTCCACGCATGTGCCCGCAAGCCTGTCACCTCGATGGTCACGTGGGACCGCATCCGGGCCAGGAGGGAACTTCGGAGGACATGCCATCAACAGCTCCTGCAGGCCCAGAGGCTCCTTCTTCATGACTGCTTTCGGTCTTGGAGCACGGGCACCAGGGTTGTCTCTGAAGGCATTCATTTCCAAGGCCTCTACCTTGGGTTTTTAGGTCTTCAGATTAGGGCGTGTAACCGCATGATTGCTGACGGAGCCAAGCAAGACGCAGCGGCAGCGACACGCGAAATCTTTCAAGATGCCAGACATGCCGGTCCGGAGAGCCTTCACCGCCTCTTCAGAGGAATACTCAAGACAGGGCGTGGGTACAAGAAACCACGCCTCGCCCCGGCTTTTGTGCTCAAGGATGGCACTGTTGCCAAAGACTCCGAGGATATCCTTGGTGACCATTTTGCCATGGCGGAGCGGGCCACCAAAACCCCCGCGCAGGAGGTGCACACGCGTCCAGCCCGTGAAGAGACTTGTACTCTTCAAGCAGTTGCTGCAGTGAGCCTCCCTAACCTTGCTCACGCGTTTGGGCGTATGGCAGCCCGTAAGGCGTCGGGTCCCTCAGGTGTGCCAGCTGAAGTTTTTCGCTTTGCTTCCGGACCCGCAGCACACGTGCATAGCCCGCTCATCCTTAAGATGCTGATGCGAGCCCAGGCACCCAACCTCTGGCGTGGGGCAGAGCGGCGGCTATAGAGAAACCGGGAAAGAGCTTGACAATGCCTTCGGGTTGGAGGTCAATCATGCTAATTGAGGCCGGGGCCAAGGGCTTGGGGGGCGCACTGCGCGCCGACCTCCTCAAGGGATTCGACCATATCCGTGTGGAGGGACAGGGCGGAAGCAGACCCAACGCCCCCATGCAAGGAGCCATGTCTCAGGTCAGAGGTTTCCTGGCTTCCTTGCACACCAGGAAGCGCTCCGGAGGAGTAGTTTTTGTAGATGGACAGACGGCCTTTTACGCAACTATCCGTCAAGGCCTGTTGGGCCAAGATGCAAACGCTCCCCTCGAGTACCTTTCCCATTTGGCCGAAGTTCTTTTCGATCAGGAAGCCGAGCGTGAGCAATTTGTCGCTACGGCGTTGGCGCCGGGCCTCTTTGCGCAATGCGGCGTCTCGGTTGAGATCCGGAGGTTGCTAGCCGCACATCTCGACACCACTTGGTTTAAAGTCGGTTGTGATGGGGATCGCACGTACTTAACTCATACCGGGACAACCCCTGGTGCGCCTCTCGCTGACCTGGCCTTCCAATATGTGTTTGCCACAGCTCTTGCGCGACTCAAGACTAGGCTCCAAGAAGTCGACTGCCAAGCCACCATCGGGGCCAATCTTGATGTCACGGTGCCCGCACCCACCTGGATGGATGATCTTGCAATCCCCTATGCCACTGCTACAGCACACCAGGTCATCCCAACGGCCTCCCGGGCTCTCAGTGCTGTAGCTACGGCATTGCACCACATAGGTATAGCAGTTAATTGGGGACAAGGGAAATCTGAGCTCCTTCCTGTCTTCCATGGCGATGGTGCCAAAGCTGAGCGTGTCCGTTGGTGTGCTCAGGAAGGAGCCACATTCGCGGTTTTGCTGCCGGACTCTGCTCAAGTCCAGGCCCACATCACGCCTGCCTATGTTCACCTCGGCTCGATTGTTGATGCCACAGGCGGGGATGAAGCTGACATCAGCCGACGGCGAGCTCTGGCTCGTGAGCTTCAGCGGCCACTCATGCGGCTCCTTCACAACAGACATCTTTCGGCTCCCGAAAAGACCGAACTCCTATTGGCAATGCCGGTTGCACGTTTCAAGCACGGTAGTGGTCTCTGGAGACTCGAGGGTGCCAAAGCCAGGGCGGCATTCCATGCTGGATACATGGAGTTGCTGCGCAGAGCCTTCCGTGCCATCACTGGTTGTTCCTCTAGGGGGTTGTCAGATGAGGACATTTGTGATGGGCTTGGGGTCTTGAGTTCAGCGGAGCTCCGCCGGGTTGAAATCACCCGTCATGTCGCCTGGCTCATCGCTGAGCATTCTGCTTCCATCCGGGAGTTGTGGCTCACGCAGGGCGCGTGGCTTGCAGAGGCCAAAGAGGCGGTTGCTATGTGTGCACCGGTAATCGTGCCGCCCGGCCGAGCTTGGGAGGTCATTGTGTCCGATCCTACGGTCGCCAAGCTTTGGGTTCGAGGATACTGCAAGCGTCGGCGATCAAGCCGGCGCGAGCGAGGGCTTACACAGCTCCCTAAGTGGCGCGCTCTCGACCAAGCCCGTGCACAAGGCTGGATCTTCTGTCACTTCGACGCTGCTCCCCGCTCGCTGCCGACACATCCTTGCAACGTTTGTGGTAGGGGTTTTGCCAGCGCTGCTGCGCTGGCCGCTCACGCGAGCAAGCGCCACGGACAGCAGTCCAGAGCCAGAAGGTTAGCGAGCGGTAGTTGCTGTGAAGTCTGCCGCACACAGTTTTGGTCTACACCGCGATTGATCGAGCATCTGCGAAGGTCCGAACAGTGCTTGCAAGTGCTCGAGGCGGCGGATCTCGATGCTCAGGCGCCGGTGCCTGGACGCCATCGTTTCGCCTGGCCGCCAGCGGCACCGGCGCTAGGGCCACAGCCCTTCTGGGCGACGCTACGGCCCGCAACGCAGGCTGCGGATGTCATCTGTCACGATCCATCTATCAGCTGGCCAGTTTTGCAAGAGGGCGCGGGTTCCCAAGGTTTGACAATTTTTGTCAAAGCGCTTGTGGAGCTGGGGCTGGAATTTTCTCTCACTGCTGAAGATATGCCCATCCGCCTTCTTAATACTTACTCTCGTTACAAGGGGTTGGTGGATTGCTGCCTCTACGTAGCTGAGACGTGCCCAGCGCGAAGCGCGGGATGGGTGGTTCGAGATCGTTGGGCTGTCACCGCCCAGGGTCAACGTGCCATCTTTCGGCCTGTAAAGGCCAAGTTTTGCGAGGCCCTTCCGGACGAATGGCAGACATGCCTGCCGGTCTGAGCCCTGGATTGTATGCATGCGGAGTGCACTCAGAGAGTTCAGCCATCATGTCCAAAAAAACCCTAAACCCTAAACCCTAAACCCTAAACCGAACCATGCTGCCGTGTGGCCTTCACAAACTTCTGCTTGGACCCGCCAAACTCTTGGAACCTGAGGAGGTCACGTTTCAGGGTTTCCCTAAGGCTCACAATAGCCCCAAAACTCTCATATAGTATCGCCTTCGGGCCCAAAAGCTTCAAAATATATGAGTCCTTAGAGCCTTAGGGTTTAAGGTTTGAGATGAGATTGTTGAGGGAAGCTTAAGGATATTATAGATTTAAGGCATCCGGGTGAAGATTAGAGGACGTTGTCAGCTAAGGCATGGGGTATGTAAAGATGCCTAAACCCGCAAGCCATCAAACCTGGACCCTGCTTTGTTCAAAAACTTTAGTGTTTCGGGAGCTTGGATTCAAGGTCATACTGTTGATGGACAAAATCCTGCATGACCTTAAGGACCCTAACCTATGGGAGCTATGGTATATTGCTTGTAACGGGTAATGCAGGATTTCGTCCATCAGCAGTAGGGCTTTTAGGCTTGGAGTCTATACATGGGTGGTTGTCAAAATTATAGTCCCTTGTTTGGTCCCTATTATAATGCGGCACCTAGTATTTAGGGTACCCAAAAAGGGACTTTAATTTTGACAACTACCCACATAACGTCCAGAATTGGGGGCTCAGAGTAACATACTCTGTGGTGATTAGGGATTAGAGCATGGATGCAATCTACTCTTAGTGCATAGGTGTCGGCATGTACTGCGAACTTTTGTGCAAATACGACACTTCTTGTTCCAGCCACCATCGCCTCCTTCACCGCGATCCTGGCAAGCCACATGCACGCTGGATGAGGCTACCCTAGAGACTAGAACACTCCCTCATAGCTGAGGGCTTAAGCTGTATGTTTCTGTTTTCAGGTGAAGACTGAAGCAGTCTGTGGGATTCGGTTTACCCGAAGCCCAAATCCTCCATTTGCGAGGGGCCCTCTCAGAATCCCTTCTGTATAGCCTCCTGAAATCCTCAACTGCTGCTTTAAGGCAGCTCACGTGCGGTCTGCCGGGGGCTCGATGGTTGGGGTTCAGGGCTTTACCTACAAGCTGCATTCAAATTCCTCTTTGGCTAACCGAATATCTATCCTAACAGGCAAAACTAGTTGATGCACAAGAGCTACTACAACGTAGACAAATGTATCGTAGACTTTACCTAAACCTTATCTGGACTTTGAAGTAACCAGGGAGAAAAAGTACAGACGTACAGACCTTTATTTCATAGTGGTTCCTTTGAGGAACAGGTAGCAACAAAAGTATTCAAGTATGGTACTCCAAACCCAGGTTATAAGGTTCAGCACATTTAACTTAAGGGGTACAGAGCGGGTTCCGGTTCAGAGTTTCGGGTCGACCTGAAGAAAACCTCCTGCAGAACAACCGAACGTGCTTGCCCAAAGGGTGCAAAGTACCAATATGGTAGAATGTAGGGTTTCTATATTAGCGATTACTATTATGATTTGGGGAAGTATTCCTCATAACAGTACCTAGGACCCTTAGGGTTGATAAAGGCACAACATAGCAGATCATAGAGAAACCCTAAACCCTAAGCCCAAAACGCTGCAACCCACAACCCCCATAAACCTAAACTCTTAAAACCCTATGTAAAAACTAAAGCCTGAAGCCCAAATCCTAAACCCTTCAAAACCAAAATGCAAACCATCATAACCGCCATCACATGGCATGCTTGGGCAGTTTGATGCAGTATGCTGATGTCTCCAACGCGGGTCCGGGACTGGGCAGTCTAGTATCCTCGCAGTGCATAGACAGAATTTCGAACACTACAGATTGCACCCCAGAACACACCATACACCGTTCGACTAGATCGTTCGCGAAATGGCGATTACACAGAATGGGCTGCAGGAAAATGGTACTGCAGGATATTCAACCAGTATGCTCATGTTCGTGTTATACTCGCTACAGGCGCTACAGTCATGAACAGGGGGGCGAACGGCTTTGATGTTTCCCGGTCGAGTACAAATGCGTTCAATTACTGTAAATGTTAGGTTAAACTTGCGGTCGGGTGCAAAAACAGTGGCATATATGCGTGTGTCTTTGTGTGGGTTCATGTGTAGATATGTATACATATATGTATGTACTTATATATATATATATGTACATATATCTGTCTTTATATGGCCCCCCCCCGCCCATGACCCACCTTCTTGCCAATACTGCTGTGCAGTCTTCTGTCCCGAGATGCTTAGTCCCAGAGTCCGAACCTATCGGTATTTACGGCGTGTTTTGCACTTCATGTACATGTCTGCCTGGCTTTTTATTTCTTTGTATCATAGCCTAACAAGCCGAACCCGAAACCAGATTCCGGTTCTGGATTCTAAGTTTGCTGAACTACTTAACATGTACAAATTGAATAGACATAGCTTCTCTTCTCTTCATACCATAAGGGGCAAGGACAACTCTTTCGGTGAAAACAAACATGCCAGTGGTATGTTTGGCTTACTAGCAACAACACTAAACAGAGGTGTTGCCTATCTATCCATAAAACAAAAAATAAGCCGGGCTCCTTATAAGACATGGAAAGTAGCCTCCATGTATTTTCATGCTTCAAGGGAACCTAAGACAACCTCATATCTTCAAGATTAGAAAGAACAAGGGAAGCTCAGTTGTTCTTTCTCAGGTGGTGTAGTTTTCTTTCATTAGTAATCTCGTTTCATCACAAAGAAACACAATAAGCCACCTCAGCCCCTTACCAGTCATTGGAACTCAGTGGCTGGAACTCAACGAGCTCTTGCAATCTACCAATACCACAAAGTTAAATCTGAGTGCTTAGGGAAAGAAGTGGTCTACCTCCACCGAACTCCAACTACATTCGGTCATAAGTAAATTCTGTCGAGCTTCTTACATAATCGAGCTCCGTTGCACCGCACTACTCGCACAAGTGATAAAGCTCCTGCCATCGTTGAATACAGGAAGAAACAGCTCCAAACCTCGTCTCAAAGCCTCCGAGCAATATGGTGGAAACACATCTTTCCTCAGCATGCTTGAAGGAAAGCAATAAAACACTTGACTTACCTCTTGAGCAAGGCTGACCTTGACTCGGTTATGACTTTGCTCGATGAGAGAGGAGTTAGTACCGCCAGTACTCGAAGCAATTGAAAGCTCATTTACCAGGTTCCCCAGTGTCGCCTGAATGGTACTTTTTTCCTGGTACTCAATTTGAAGAGGGGAACCCCAACAATAAGAAGGCAAGACAGCACCATTGGGGAACTCACTCTAGATGTCATGATATGACTTATCGGAGCTTATCAGCTTCTTTAGTTTATGAGTTAAAATAAATACAAGAAAAACTTCCTTGTTCAAGCAACGGTCAAGAAATTAAACGGTTACCAAGGTCTTACCTCGACGTAGAAACAAGAACTCGACAGTATCTAAACATGATGTAAAGTTCAACGAACATGCCCATTCGCATAAACACGTTCTAAAACATCCACAAACACAGGAGGGTTTCAATATTGTAAAGTGCAGCTGTTCTTCTATTCTTTTGTTCAGCAAGGCTGATCTTAAAAACAGCTATGTTTTTGTTCGATGAAAGAAGCAACAGCACAGTTGCGAACTGAAGCATTTGAAGGTTGATGTATGAGTACATGGTACAGCTGTTCTTATATTGCTGTCGCATTTCAGGTTTCAACAAATTTGGGAAATTCGAGCCTGGCAGTGTTTTCGCATCCGAGGTTGTCAGAACATCGCCAGGCTCGAATTTCCACAAAATCACCCAAATCATGGCATCTATGAGGAGCGCGAGGCCGTAGTGCTGACATTTTGGGAACTTTGGGAAAATTCGAGCCTGGCGATGTTTTGGCTTTCCAGCTTTACATCGAGCCTGGCGATGCTTTTTCATCCGAAGTTGCCAAAACGCTGCCAGGCTCGAATTTCACCAACATTCCTGAAGCCTGAAATGCGCAAACACTGGCAGGGATCGAATATCTCCAAAAATCCGAAAATCCTGGCATCCATGGGGAGTGCGGGGTCATGGTTGCTCAGAGTTTTGGATTGTGGGGGAAATTCGAGCCTGGCGATGTTTTCGCACTTCCAGCCTCACAGATTTTACATCCGAAGTTGCCAAAACGCTGCCAGGCTCGAACTTCCACCAAAAATTCCTGAAGCCTGAAATGCGAAAACATTGGCAGCGATCGAATATCACCAAAATTCTTGAAATCTTGGCATCTATGGGGAGTGCGGGGTCATACTTGCTCAGAGTTTGCAGAGTTTGGGATTTTGAGAGTTTGCAGAGTTTGGGATTTTGAGGAAATTCCAGCCTAGCGATGTTTTCGCATCCGAGGCTGCCCACCTCCCATGATCCACTGCTTACAAAACGCTTTTTCGTGTCGTTCATGGGGGGGGAGCATATGTATAAATAAATAAATAAATATATATATATATATATATATGTATATATATATATGTATAGATGTACGCATACATATATGTACATATATATATATATATATATATATATATGTGTATATATATATATATATGTGTATATATATATACATATATGTGTGTGTGTGTGCGGGTGTATACATATATACATATATATATATATATATATGTACATGTGTGTGTATATATATATATATATATGTAGTTACATTCGGGGACACATCGTAAAACATGTGTTGCGCATACACTCGCCAAAGCATGAACCTGTACATACATGGGTAGTTGTCAAAATTAAGGTCCCGATTTTGGGTGCCCTACACATTCGGTGCCGCATTATATTAAGGACCCAAACAAGGACCATAATGTTGACAACCACCCACATGACAACCGGTGATCATGCGGGCCAGGCCTCTTCGAAAACCAGGACATCCGGATTTGGCTGGTTCTTGTGCAGCCGGTACGCGGTCATCTCCTACTTGTCGGGTATCATGGGGAACTAGAGGTTAACCTTTTTGGTTATATAGGGATTATAAAGTCACCATACTACCCCCCAAAAAGAATAAAGTTAAAGGTACCTACTCTACTACTAGGATCTGTTGCGGTTTGAGGTTCAGGGTTTAGGGACTGTGGGGCTTTGAGATGGTTTGAGGCTGAGGGTGGAGGGATTTACCACTCGAAACAAGACGTTGCAGCCCAAAAACTATATCCCTAAACCCTATAAACCCTAAACCCCTAAACCCTAAACCTCTCAGACTCTAAACCCTAAAACCCCTAAACCCTAAACCCGCAAACCCCTACACCCTAAAACCCCTAAACCCTAATCCCTAAACCTCAAGATGTTCAGACCGGGGTTGCTCTTCATACTGTACCGCTCTCTGTAGCGGCTTAATGCGCTCTACAAGGAAGACCTGTATAGGGTTTAGGGTTTAGGGTTTTTCCAAATAGCAGGTTATGAACCCCTTACTTAAAGGATATAGGCTCCTGAAGCACTAGCTTTTTCCCTCGGTACTGGGCACTGTTATGGGGGATACTTCCCCCAATCATAATACTAATCCCTACTAAAGAAACCCAAAGTTCTACTGTATGGGTACTTCTGTTGATGATATAAATCCTGCATGACCCATCAGAATGAAGATACAATAATTCCCATATATGCCTTATAATGGGTAATGCAGGATTTATATCATCAACCGTTAGGACCCTTTCGGTTTTGGATCCCCAGGAGGAGGGCATAGCTTCGGGACCACCAGAGCCCAGCGCGAAGGACTTGGGGTTTGCAGGTCCAGGTTTGGATTTGGGCTTAGGGTTTAGGGCAAGTTTAGGGTTTATCGGTGTGGGCTGCGAGTAGATGGTTTCGCAGACTTTCCAAAATCCTTCAATTACGGAATATACCTTAAATCTTAGTCGGATCCCTCAGAGAATTTGGGAAGGTCTGGGTTACCGCATATGAATCCCCTGGCGAAGTTGGTCCACTCCCAGACTCACAGCTCTCTTGTTGACATGCACTATACTCAAAAGGAGGTAATCCCAAATCATGGTCCTTATATAAGGGATGTTTGAACCTACCCACCCTCACCCTACCTTTTGAGGCCCTTGGTAAACGAGTTAGCGTAGAAGAAGCGCGGCAGGTAGCGCCTTAGGTTTGTTGCTTTCGAGTTTAGGTTCAGGGTGCCTTAATTGCAGAGCCAACCCCCAATGTCCATCCCAGAAATCGGAAATACCTACACAACAAACTGTAAATCCAACATAACAAAAGAAATGAAACCGCAAAGCTGCACGTAAACAACTGCGGCCACGAACGGCTTATCCAGCACCGACCCTACCGCACCCCTAGACCTCAAACCTTTAACCCCTAAAAACCCAACTCTTAAACCCTAAACCCTGAAACCCCAACCCCTAAAAAACCCTAAACTCTAAACCTTAAAATCCCAACTCCAAAACCACAAAAGCACCCATACCAAGACCGGACATCAAGGCCTCCTCCTCCTCATCCTCCAAACCTTTGAACTCCAGCAGATCCTCCGAGGAGATCAAAGGAGTTAGTTGTTTCCGGTTGAGGCAGTTCTGGCTTACTTTAAGTAGCTTCTAAATAGGGTCAAAAGTACCCTATATTGAGTTACCGTGTCTCCTGGGCCTCCAGTATCCCTAAACCCTAAACCGCTAGGGTGTACAGATTCGGGCTTAGGGTTTCGAGATGTGGCCTTCGGGTAGTTTGGCCAAAGCTTTAGGATGGTTTGGGTCTAGCATGAAAGACCAACCTTGTCAAGGACATCCAAGACAGAAAAAAAGGAGATCAATCGAAGAAGCTCTAGAAATAGCATTTGGGGGAGGGGAGGGGCGGGGGCCTATAAGGAAGTCAAGGTAAGGAGGTATAGACATAACTAGAGATTCGTTGAGCTAAGGCTATAAGGTGAGGGGAGGGGTGGTGAGGCTCAAGCTCTACGTTTCCCTCATGAGCAAACCAGGGGTAAAACAGCGGAGAAGTTACTACTAGACCTAAGAGTAACCTAGGAATAAAAAGGGTGCCCTTTTTGGTTTAAAGGGTGTTAGAAGGGAACCTAAACCCTAAAAAAAGGGAATAAGGGCCTACTCCAGGTCCTAGACTAAGTAAGTAGGGGCCCTCCATTACTGCGCGTCATCTGTCCCAGGGCCGGCAGGTCGGAACCTGCCCTACTTAGAGGATCATGGGACTTAGTAAGTAGGCTATAATTGGGTTTATAAGTCCCCTAAGTGGGGTTATCCTAATGACAACCTACTTATAACCTTACTTACTAAGTCCCATGAGCCTTCAAGTAAGGGTCCAAAGGACCCAATAATTAGGTACTCGGGCTTAGGATAGTTAGTAGTTATGTAGGTTACTATTTTGGAGAGTATATGGTAACTATGTACTTGGACCCTTAGGCCTGCGCAACTGCTGGGATCTGAGTGCAGAGCACGCGGAAGTGTTCGAACTTCAAACCCTATAGACCCCGAATCTTAATATTTGCGACGTATCTCCATTAGGTATCCGCCACACGGCCGATAGATTGTGCGATAGGGCCCTCTCATATTCTCGTATGGTGGTCCCCCAAAATTGTCTTCTTCGGGCAGGACTGCCTTTGAAAACATCCAAGGGATCAACTGCAGCGGCATGGGCTCCAAGTGACGATATCCCTTCCAGTTGTCCAAAGGTTCGGCTGCTGCTGGTCTGACAAAGTTTCGGTCTGCGAAGTAGGGGCCAGGACAATAACCTTAAATCCCTGAACCCTACATCCCTAAGCCCAAAGCCCTAAATCCCTAAACCACAAACCCTAAATCCCTAAACCCTAAATCCCTAAACCCAAAACCCTCAATCCCTAAACTTTTAAACCCTTAACCAGTAAGTGCCAGGACAGCAAACGGATCTTCTCACTTCCAACAGGGTCTGAGGGTGTACTGTCGCATAATTCTACATGGGAGTTTCCGACATAGGGGGCCATAATAGCTAATAGAGTACCCTAAATAGTAGGATCCTTGTTATAAGGACCCCAAAGTAAGGTACCCCTAATTTTCGGAAACTCTCACATCGGCGATGCGGGGATACCGTAGTCGACCTCTATGTTCGGTGAAACCGGGGATTCTGCTTGGCGATAGAGTGCGCTGTATATCGTATCAAAAGGCTATATGGGTGGTTGTCAAAATTATGGTCCCTTTTTGGGCACCCTAAATATTAGGTGCGGTATTATATCAGGGACCCAAAAAGGGACCCTAATTTTGACAACCACCCATATAAGCAAGTTAGACTACACGCAACTGGTGATCCTCTATTAAATTAGGGTCGTTGGCTTGATGAGGTGAACTGTGATTCTCGGAGGCCTTCGTAACTACGTAGTTCATACATACCGTATTAGTAGAAGAGGACTTAGCAAGCACGGCTACAAGCACAGTAGCTATTCTGAGAACTACTGTATTCAAAAGCTTGAGTGCAAGTCTGCTTATAACGCTTCACCTCTAAACCCCTGAACCCTGAGCCGTGAACCCTAAACCCTTACACCCCAAACCCTTAAAACCCCGAAAATCATTGAACTACTCGTGCATCTCCACTCTGGCGCTATGCATAATCAACCCTGATAGTTGCAAAAGGAAGCCTTTCTGCGCAGGTCTGGGGGCTCGGGGGGAAGGGTCAGGAAAGCTGCAACATGCGGGTGCGGATCCGGAAAACGTCTTCGCAGATGCGTCAGGGACAGCTTCATCACAATCATGGTAAGAACGAAAGTAGCACCACTAGGCAGCCTAATTCAGGAACCTGGCTAAGGAATTACCGAAATATCACGATCCAGGAGAGTTCCTGCATCAGCTTGATATCCGAGTCCTGAAAATCTCGTTTCCTTGATCCCTGCATGGGAGTCTACACCGGCCTACTACAAAACCTTGACCCTACTTATGTAAGCTTGTGTAACACCTCAACAAACTGAACTCCAAAATAACGAAGCTTCTAACGGGAAAGGTGCGGACGTGCAGGGTTTTGGGGTGAGGGGGGGGGGGAGGTTCGGAAGGTTGTAATGGAACTACAGGTTAACTTTTGGGAGCATGTAGGGATTTGGGTACCTTATTTCTTATAATAAGGATCCTACTATTTAGGTCCCCTAATTTCGGAAATTCCCATTTGAGTATACCCAAACCGGTTGCAGGTTGCCTACTCTACTACAAAATATGTGTACATATGCTCCGGAACTTGTGCAACCGTGCAAACCCCTGGGCTGCCTGCTTAGGGTTTAAGGGTTTAGTAGGGTTTAGTTTAGGGTCTTCATGAGGTCTCAAAGGAAGATACTTTGACTATACCTGTAGCCCAAAACACCTACCTACCTCACGAAGTTCTACAACGAAACCTTAACCAGGAAGCAGGTGGGCTTAAGATGTGGGTAGTTGTCAAAATTAAAGTACCTTTTCGGGTGCCGTGTTGTAATAAGGACCCAAAAGGGACCATAATTTTGACAACCATCCCTAAACCCTAAACCCCCAAACCTAAACCCTAACCCCCCAAACCTAAACCCTAACCCCTAAACCCTAAACCCTAAACCCCCAAACCTAAACCCTAAACCCTAATAAACTGATAAGCCGACGACCCACGAGTCTTCTACACAGGGAAGCCCGGAGGAGCCAGTCGGGCTTAGGATTTAGGCTTAGGGTTTGGGGTTTAGGGTTTAGGGTCCTGGGTTCAGGGCTTTAGGTTTAGGGTTTAGGGAGTTAGGGCTTAGGGTTTTAAGGTTTGAGGACCTCGACCGTCATGCAGCGATTCTGCATCATCCATCGCAGCAGCCTAAGCTGCCAGTCTGTGTGCAAAGGTTCTGGAATGTCGGGCTTCGTGCTGAAGGGTACTTTTCCTACTTCCAGGTCTATACATATGTGCCTTTGCACTGTCACCCGAACAAGACCGATGCTGCACTAAACCCGACCCTGAAACCCCAAACCCTACACTAAACCATATATCCCTAATTAACCCTAAACCTGAACCCTGAAACACCAAACCCTACACTAAACCCTGAACCCTAATTAACACTAAACCCTATTAACCCTAAGCCCTAAACTAAACCTAAAACCCTGGGTAACCCTAAACCCTGATTCACCAGAAACCCTAATTAACCCTGAACCCTCAACCCTAAGGAACCCTGAACCCTAATCAACCCTAAACCCTGGTGAACCCTGAACCCTAATTAACCCTAAACCCTATAATCCTACACCATAAATCCTAAACCCTAATTAACCCTGAACTTCTGAACCCTAATTAACCCTAAACCCTATAAACCATAAATTCTAAACCCTCAACCCTACACTAAACCCTAAACCCTACACTAAATACGAAACCCCCCGCCCCCCCCCCCCCCCGACTGACAAGGCTTGGGAAGCGGCTCTATCTGTGGGGGTTTGAACCGTCACCAAGCTCTGAAAGCACTTAAAGAACAGGGTTGTGGGGCCCATTATATCATGGCTCATAATAAGGAACCCCAAAATAGTGTTGGTTTTTCAAATCTGCTTGAACCTACACCCTAGTTAAGCTTTTTGATCTTCAGGCAGAACAGCTGCAGGAAGTATCGTAAGAGCGGCATACCGCAGAAAAGCTACCATTGGGGTAACTGGTAATCGGTACATTTGGTCTATTCCGTTTATATGCTTCCGACAATCCTATAGACCTCTAGCCCTGCTTTCGGCATCCTCACTACAAACCCTAAACCTCAACCCTAAACCCCCAAACCCCAAACCCTATAGAACCCTACTCAACCCTAAAAGTCTGTAAACCCCACCCGCGTTGATCTGGGCTCCAGTCTCCCCCTTGGCTTCCAGAGCATCGTCCTTCCGCGAGATCTTGAAATCCACCTGTGATGTTTAGGGTTTTCTCTTTCCCCTAGCGATCTAAGGACTCATATGATATATCTAATATATATATATATATATATATATATAAGCTTTTGGGCCCAAAGACCATGCTATGCAAGGCTTTGGGGCTGTTTTGATCCCTAGGGTTTCTCACTCAGAGAGGAGCCTAGCCCTCAATTTAGAGTTGATGTTTGTTGAGATCGTACGGTTGTCGGAGCAAGCATGCTCTCTGGGTAAAGGCAATCGAAACGTATTACATTTCCCTGTGGCCACGTGGAAAGACTCCCCTTTCATATTGTTCAGTCCCAAACAGCCAAAACAAAGGGAAACAGGCTCCTACAGGAAAGCCATTTCCCTAAAACCTAAACCCTACTAGCCTAAACCCTAAACCCTATAAACCCTAAATCCCAAGCCCCTACAACGCCCCTGGGCGCCTTGACGATGCGTGTGCCCGCCGGCAGTTTCTCTTGGTCCACAAGCATCTGATCCTCCAGGGCGGCTCCCAGGATTCCCGGGAGGATCTGGAAAAGGCAGATCCCTTTGCTTGGGAGCCCGTAAAACTGAAGGGTACTTTATGCTGGGCTCCTGCTAAGGGGTTTAAGTTAAGCTACCATGATAAGGATCTATATAATCTGGGTTCCTTGTTATGGTAACTTAACTTAAACCCCTTAACAAGAACCCAGCCTAGGAGCCCCTTTAAGGGATCAGAGCAACTGATCCTCTTTGCCGCCGCTTGGATTGGGCTTTCCGACTCTTTGGACTCAGGGCTTGGGCTTCTTAGGGTTATGGGGCTACAAGGCTATAGGGTTATAGCGTTTAGGGTTGAAGGGTATACGGTTATAGGGTTCAGGGTTATTGGGTTTAGGGCTGAAGGGTTTCGGGTTATAGGGTTTAGGGCTGCAGGGCTTAGGGTTATATGGCTTAGGGTTCCTCAAACTTACAACTACGGTTTCAGGGGTTCTTTAGCACTCCGAGCTGGTCAAAAACACGAACCCACCCTGCAGCGCGATGCTTTTGCAGACTTCCATGGGCTACCTCTTCCAAACTGCAAGGATAAAGTTTGGGGTTCAGGGTTTAAGGGTTAAGGGTTTAGGGTTTAGGGATAAACCGTAACTAAGTAGCTATACAGCTCTCCAGGCTGACTTTGACCTGGAAGTTGTACCATATGCCAAAGTATAAGCATATACTCTACGGGTGGCTATATACATGGACAATCAGGGTGTGCGGAAGAGCAGTTGAGGGCTATCCGGATATCATAGGCACCTTGCCCTGCCGCCAACCTTCCAACTAATGTGGTGTGTTTGTTTTGCGAATCGCCTACGTATCCAAGCACGCATCAACCACACTGCGAAACCCGGAACCTGTGCTATTCAGCTTTTTGGAATTAGTCACAGACAGCTTATAATTAAAGCCAGAAAGTTGGACACAGCCCCATGGCAAGAACAACCTACTTGGAGGGTCGGGGGACTTACTAAGCAGGTAGTAAGTAGACTTATAAGTACCCTAAAAGGGACCCTAATTGGGGTTGTGGTACTTACAAGTCCCTAAGATAACCAGTTGCTGAGTCCCCCGACCCTCCAAGTAAAACCTTGTAGTTTAGCGCAGCGTGGAAGTTTCTCCTCCGCAACCAAAGGAAGGCCCCAAGCCTCTAACCCTTCGGCTCTATGGACTCATAGTTTGAGGCTTTTGGGGCCCAAAGACCATACTATATAAGGCTTTGGGGCTGTTTTGAGCCTTACCCTAAACCCTACCTGTAGCCGGAAAGACTTACCTTTTTAGGGTTCCTTATTATGATTTCTGTATAAAGTTCCTTAAAAAGGTAGGTCTTTTCGGCTACAGGTAAACCCTAAACCGTTAGGGTAAGTGTTGAAGGATCCATCCCCTGCCTCATACGCCGCATTATCGTGGGGGGGATCTGAACAGCAAGGCCCCTTCACCGCTAAGCCCTGGTTCCGCATGACAAGTGAGGATACCTGTGTTCCCAGTATTCAATATTTACAAAGAAACCAAGACAAAACCCTAATCCCTACACCCTAATTTCTGAATGCTAAACCCAATTCTACTTTACCCTAAATTCTGAATGCTAAAACCAATCTAGTTTAGAGATGTCGCCTCCTCCGCGGCCATGTTCACGATGATCGGAGCCTTGGAACTCGACACAAGCTCCTAAACCAGGGGCTTATATGGGAGTTTCCGAAAATTAGGGGTACCTTAGTTTGGCTCCTTAAAATAAGGATCCTACTATTTAGGGAACTATATTAGGGTCCCCTATTTTCTGAAACCCCCATATGAATTCGAACAAGGCTTTGGGGTATGTGTAACCTGTATAATCCAGCTTTATAGGCACTAGAAGGGCATACTATTACCAGTTATTTCCACCCCCCCTCCCCCGCCTTCAAGACAAACAAACAAACGGCTTCCGGGGCCGGTTGGGTCTAGCGTTGTGCGAATGAGGTTTGGGGGTCTGGGGCTCTTGGGACTTAGGTGAGGACCCAAAGTACGGGTTTAGAGTTTAGGAAAAACTAGGCACGGTTTGTGGAGCTGGGGAACGGAAAGTCAGTACCACCATAATATCATAGCATTACCTGATCATTACCTGTCATGGATACATAACTTTGAAACCCTAAACCCTAAAGCCTGGCTATTAAGGGGTCACAAAGTACTAGTTTGCAGCCCTAAGGATCCATCTACCCCCAAACAGTATATACTTCGGCCTCAAAGTGGTCCTTATGTTGGTACTTTGGGGGCAAAGTATATGCTATTTGGGTAAATGGGTCAGAACCAAAACAAAGTAGAAGGGTGGCACGAGTTCCTAAACTGGTTTAGGGGTCCTAAACCCTATAACCCTGCACGACATAAAACCATAGCCATTTCCGCAATATTCAAAGCCTCGAACCTCGAACACCTTCTGGGCAGTGTCAGAAGAGCCTTCCACGATGGGGTTCCGGATTGAAAAGGGCTGCAATGCAAAACCTCGCACCTTCAAACGTTGAGGATCGGGACCACTAAGCTTAACAGTTGAAGCCTAGATCACAATCCGAACAGTCCTTCAGATCACGAAAAGTACAGCTAGGAATAAATTCAAATGACCTCTGACGAAGCACAAACACGGCCTCCTTGAAAGAGCGTGACAATCACGTACATCCCGATGCATCCCCGATTGGCCCCTGCAGTCGCAATGCCCTGAACCCTTTGTGACATGCAGAAGCCGAGCACAAAAAAATCGTTCTTGCCGGGTCTTGCAGCCACGGAACATAGAGCTTCTGTACAACATCCTCGATCTCCTTCATCCAATGCAGTATCCTAAACTACAAAGTGGCAACTACAACCCTACCTCACAACCATAATCCGCGATCTCCTTCATCCCAATGCAATATCCTAAACTACAATGTGGGAAATACAACCCTACCTTACATGCCGACATTCCCAACCAAAAAGCACAAACAAGGCTGTGGCCATCTTTGGCTCTTCAGTCGATATGGCAGAAAACCACAAACCTAGCAACCCGAACAAAACAAGACGAGACGGTTTCTGCGAAAAAGCGGGGGTAGCCCTTTGACCCGAGCTCTCTCAAAAGTTCCTTACTATCACAGTGACGGTCTTCCCTGGGCAACCCCAAAAGGGGATCCCTTTGTTGGGAGATAACCGAAAACCGTATATGCCCTAAACCCTATAGGCCCCAAAATTTAAAATCTGGGAGGCTGCACCAATTTTGCGGGCAGTGACCCTGAACCCCGCGAAATCATCGGCATCAGCCTGGGCGAGCGCACGGAACTTCTCGAAGAGGGCATCCAGCAGCGGAGACATCATCACATTGATCCTAAACCCTAAACCCTATAAAGTAAAAGCCAGAAAGTTGGAATATCATTATCATAATCCCTTTAAGGTAAATTATAGGGGATCCTACCATTATTCCATATTCCAACTTTCTGGAGTTCCCTTTAGACCCTAAACCCCGAAACCTTAAATCCGGTTGGAGAAGCGATTGCAGCCAAGATCATCTGCTCTTCACCTGGAGTGCGGCGGAGCGCCGCATGACGCCTAGAAGCTCGAAGCAGTTGTGTACCCTGAGACTCCAATATCCCTTAATCAAGGAACATTCCTTCAATCGTAGTAGGATCCCTAGTATGATTTAAGGAATATTCTGAATTAGGGGATATTGGAGTCTCTGGGTAGGACTGGTGCGTCCTCAGCTGGAGGACACCGGAGGTCCTCTGTAGGCTGGCGCCCCCATCGGTACCTTCTGTATCTGGGACATCTGCACGAGCAGCCTTCCCGTGAGGGTCCTCGGTGCCTTTTATGGGAGGGTTTAGGGTTTAGGGTTTGGGGTTTAGGGTTTGGGGTTTAGGGTTTAGGGTTTAGGGTTTAGATGCTTCCCCGAATCACAATGGTAATCCCCAGTAGAGAAACCCTACATTCTACTACATACGTACCTATAGGACCCATAAACCCTACACCCTTATACTTCCTTGAAGGGACCCGTAAAGGAGGTACTTACGGTTGATGATATAAATCCTGCATTACCCATAGTAAGGAATATACCACAATTCCCATAGTTTAGGGTCCTTAGGGTAATGCAGGATTTATATCGTCAACCCTCAGGGTCCAAGTAGTCCTTATTTATGGTTTTTGATACCTAAAAAGGCCCTAAAGTCCTGTGATCGGGAGTACTTGGACACCCTAGACCCTATACCCCAAAACCCTGTAGATCCCTTCAAGGGAACCCCTTAATGGTACCCCTATAGATCAACAGTTGGACCCTTTGAATTTTTGAGTGCCTCACAGTCGGGTCCAAACCATGGCTTGGGCAAAACCCTTCGACTGGCATAGGGCCCCAAAAAAGCACATAAGCAAGAACTTGGATAGGGATGTCCCGTATAAACCCCCTTATAATGAAGCCCAATATGGTAGGGATATCCCCATAAAATGCTTATGCTTATGTGCTTTTGGGGTGCCTAATGGCATGGCCCTGACAAGGGCAGTCCCACACGGTTTAAGGGTTCAGGGCTTAGGGCTTAGGGTTTAAGGGTTTAGGGTTTGGGGTTTAGGGTTTAAGGGTTTAGGGTTTAGGGTTTAGGGCTTAGGTTTTTTTAAAGCTCCTTTTTGATGTCTATTTTACAAGCACCAAGACCGACAACGATCAGGACTTAGGGTTTAGGGTTTAGGGTTCAGGGTTTAGGGCTTAGGGTTAGGTTTTTAGGGTTTAGGGCTTAGGGTTAGGTTTTAGGTTTTAGGGTTTGGACCATCCGGCATCGGTGGGCCCACTCTGAAGCCCCTAAAGCCCTAAACCCTACATCGTAAGCTTTAAAGGGCTTGCTAACTTCGGGCTTCGCTGTGGCTCCGACTGACAACCTACTGGCGGGCTGATCCGCTTGCTTCGACATTGCAGTCGTCATGACCTAGGTTATTAGGGAGCATCGTAGCCCAAACCCTAAAACCTAAAACCACTGAATATAGTAGCCTAAAAGGTTACAAAGGTTACATACTCTACTACTATAGAAGCCCATTACAGGTGGGTAGTTCCTCTTCCATAGTACTCCCATAAGACCCCTTTACCTTATAGGAGTGGTATGGGAGGCTTATGGGAAACTAACCACCTAATAACTACCCACCTGTAAATGGCTTAGATACTATTGTAGTATCCTTAAGGGAGGGGGGTCCAAGGGGGGTATATAGCCTAGTGATCCCTAATCCTCCCTAGTACTCCCTAAGGTTCCCTTACAGTCCCCTAAGGATTCCTTATACCCTCCCCCCTTGAACCACCCTCCCTTAAGGATCCTATAATACTAGGGTCGCCAATGAAACCCTTGGAGCCCTTGTCTTATGCTCATCTACTCCGGGCTCGGAGGGTTTCAACGACTCTAGCTTTCTGCTGCACATTCTACCATAAAGCTACATTGAGGAAACCAAAGAAATAACAGGGAAATCTAGGCAATAAAGACTGAAACTTGAGGTATACCACGGTATGATGAGCGAACTTAAGGAATAAACATGAACATAGCTGAGGCCCACCTATTCTACTTCCTCAAGCCCTCAAACCTACATAAACCACCAAACCCTAGAAACTAACGTGCAACCGAAACCCTAAACCCTAAACGACTATACCCTAAACCCTAACCCGTAACCGCTAAACCCCCATCGCCAGTCCTTGTCAATCGCTTCCTGCCAGAAGTCTCGGAGGAAAGCTCCCTGTGAGCCGTTCCGCAAGAGATCGTAAAGGTTTAGGGTTTCGGGCTATATACACTCTAAACCCTTTAACTTCTAGGGCTTGAGGGCTTTAGGGTTATCGGGTAAAGGGTGTAGGGCTCCTTGGTTTAGGGGTTAAGTGTTTTAGGTTTAGTAAGGGGCATGTTCTGGGGTGTGCGGTTTCAGGGTCAGTGTCCAGGTGTTAGGGGTCTAGGGTTAAACGTTTGTATTACGAGGAGACCTAACCTGCAAGCCCATATCGTAATTCCACACAAGCGCGCCCAAACACATGTGTATGCATGCACGTATAATGTATACATATGGAAAATACTTCTCTGTCCATATGTATATCTACATATATAGGTTCTTTATAGAGACTTGTATACCTATATGTATGTGCATGTTTGCGATGTGAGTATATATATATATATATGTCTATGTAGGTATACATATGTAAATATACATATAGACGTTAGTCATGTGTATGTATGTATGTATGTATGTGAGTATGTATCAATGTATGTATGTATGTAAATATATGTACGCATGCATGCATGTAAAAACACGCAGACTTGGTATGATGTCGGCATTTAGGAACCTTTGTGTTCGATAAAGCGGTGCTGTCATGGGGTTGTACATTTTCAGGTCGGAGGCCTTTCGGTGTCCTACGGTTCGTCTGCACACCCTATGGTTAACCTCCCCGCTGTGGCTTAGTAGGGATACTAATACTAATCTTGTGGCCCTCAAAGCAGAGGGGTCTTGGCTGTAGGTTCCAGGCGATCCGATCTTGGGGCCCTGAAAGCAAAGGCGAGTATTCATCTGAGGACTACACTGTCCCGCGAAGTTCAGAGGAAGGCAAAGGTGCCCCCTATTGGAGTTGTCTGTCTTGGGGCTCATTTCTGCAGCCTCCGTGCCGCCCCTACCCTGAAGCCCGAAGCACACACTCAGTCGAATCTCTTGAGCTTCACCGATTTAGAGTCTGGAGTTTAGGGTTTCGCATGACAACACATATTATATTGAATTGAAGAGTTCAAGTGGAATTTCAAGGTTCTTGCCTGCCGTTTCCTGTGCTGGGGACGGGAGTTGCGCTGGATGTAGCAGCCCGAAAAATTTGTAATACTACTCCTTTGGGTTCCCATTACAGTGTTTGCTGCTAGTTTCGCTATTGCCACTGTTATTACAAGCTTGAAGACACTGATGGTTATTACTATATCCACGGCCGAGTTTCCGGGTTTAGGCGTTCTGGGTCGACGGCAAACTCACCACGGTCCAACTGTGAAGGCTTAGGAGTTCAAACTTTTTAGCGTGCTCGATCCCATGCTTGGAGGGTCGGGAGACTTAGTAAGTAGGTAGTAAGTAGACTTATAAGTACCCTAAAAGGGACCCTATTCGGGGTTATGGTATTTACAAGTCCCTAAAATAACCAGCTACTAAGTCCCCCGACCCTCCAACTTTACAGAACAAACAAAAGCCGTGAACCCTGTAAGCCTGAGCAAAACCCGAAACCCTGCCAGAAATCCCAAGCACTGGCACTTTGTTAGTTTTGTCTGAACTCGTTCTTTCGGGGACCTCTTTGAAAGTCATGATTCGTATAAAAGCCTGTAGACTTAGAGAAGGGTTTAGGGCTTAGGGTCCAGGGGTTTGGGGACCGATTATACGACACGATGACACTATGTAATGTTCTATTTGTTCAAACCTCTTTTCCGGGTCTAAGGGGGTGGTGACGAATGGTTAGGGTTGATCGAGTAGTGCTTGGAATATTTGCAGCTCCAGGTGCAAGCTTTCAGGTTCAGAGCTTCTGATAGGACAGATTTGGGTGGTTGTCAAAATTAGGGTCCTTTTTTGGGTAGCCTAGATAATAGGTGCCGTATTATAATAAGTACCCCAGAAGGGACCCTAATTTTGACAACCGCCCATTTAACTGAAGAAGCTGTGTCGTAAGCTTGAGGTTCATGGCTTAAGGTTTAGGCTTTGCTTGGGACTCCAAACATGGAGCCTGAGTTGGCTGGGTATTTGGCTGCCCGCCAACTGCTTAACCCTAAAACGAACTACAGTAAAAGCCAGAAAGTTGGAAAATGGTTATCCTAAACCCTTTATGGTAAATTAGAAGGTATCCTACCCTGAAACCATATTCCAACTTTCTGGAGTTCCCCTTAAGCCCAAGCCGTAAAGTCGTAAAGTCTCAAACCCTCAGTTCGTAGGCTTCGGGTCAAAGGTTCAGGGTTCTGTGTACTCGATCATGAACAAAGCAAGGTTAGGGTTCCGGGTTCTGTATACTCGACCATGAATAAGGCCTAAACCCACGCAACTCATAAGAAGCCTTGTACCCTGAACCTCAAACACTAAACCGAACCCATGCAAGCCCACGGCGCCAAATCCCACGCGCCCAGACCAATCCCAAAGAGGCCTTGCTATTCTTGAGCTTTGTGTTCAAGCCCACCGGCAAGCTGAGCCTTTGTATCGAGGTTTCGGAAGCATTTCGGGTGTAGGCAAGTTAAACAGCCGTACCTAGCAGGACTAGACTCATGGACTCGAAACCTCATCATTCATCGTGAAGCCTATCAAAGGGGCCGATAGAACTGGGTTTTGAGGGGAGCATTATGCTAGTCTTACAAGAAGGAATATCGAGGAATAGCACGAGGCCAGTATGCAGACTTCTATACCAAGCCCTGATTATTGAGATCCTCCTGCTGCAGCACCAAGTGCTACGAACAGCGGTGGCCATGACCAGTGTAAAGAACCAGCAGCGGACCACAGATAAACCGCAAACCCTGAAACGTGCACCCCACCCCCCCCCCCCCAAATCCTTCACACCCAAAATGTGCAAATTGATGCCCCACCCACGACAAACGTTCAAGCCAATTCATGCTCGCGAGCTAAGTATCAATAAGTTCAACAAACACGAAAGCTTAGAGTCACAATGACAATGAGGAGAATCAGCCTCAAAACATGCGTTATGGTAATCTCAGGGTCCATGTACCCATGCAGTGGATACTCGGGTCCGGAAGTACCGAAATAGGGACTACAGTAAGGCCAGTACTATCTGAGTACACCGACCCTTAGGGTCTAAGCAAAATGACCTGTTGTTGAGCCAGCTAAGCTAGCTTCGCACCTAAGGAGGCTTCCAAACTACTTCTTACATCTGCAACTCTGCGCCTCAAGCCGTCGTAGTCAGAGTTTTTTATAGAGGCTCTGTACTAAACGGGCAATAGGGATAGGAACATCAGGGCCCCTTCACAGGGTTCTAGTTAGGGGTTATTGAACGACACGACATGCGGTACAGACGCGCATTTCGAGGCTCAAGGCCCTAGGTGGAGATGGGTAGTATTTTTAGGAGGACCCCTTAAAGGGTACCCCTTCTGAACCCTACTTCTGGCTCCCTTAAAAGGGGCCTTATTTAGAGGGTCTAGATCTCCAAGGGTCCCCCTAATCCTAACTCCTAGGAGACCCACAAAGCCTTCAAGCCCTAAACCCTAAACCCACACGCTGAACCCTGAGCAAAGCACCCCAAACCCTAAACCCTATACACCTTAAGTCAAGTCCCTCAATCCGGGTTCTTTACTGTTCCTGATAAGGGTTCCTTATGACAGTCATGGGAGAACAAAAACCAGGAAGCCTTGTCTTGCTTCCTTATTATGCAATTATGCTATTATGTACCCCCCCCAAAGTCCCGAAGTCTATTCTACTTATCAGGCAGTCATTGTCATTGTTACAGGTAGGTCTGCATATGTGTATATACACATTGAACTAGACATACATGCATACATACGTATACATATACATATACATGTACGCATACAAACATACATACATGCATACATACATAAATACACACATATAAATATATATATATATATATATATATATATATATTATGTACACATGTGTATATTCATATACGCATCTACATCGCACTCAGCTCTCCTGGGCTCCCAGTCGTCTGAATCTCATCATAAGGTCTTAGGCAGCCGTAGAGACCTCCATGTAGGCTTTGGAGCTTCGAGTTTAAGGGCTTCATGGTATTGTGGTTTAGGAGTTTAGGGTTAAAGGGTTCAGAGTTTAGGGGTTTAAGGGTTTGGGGTTCTGTGTGTGGAGATCTCCTTCAGCTAGAGCTCACAGTTTTCTTTTGTGGATTGTAGGGTTCGGGGCCTTGACATGGGTCTGCGGGTGAAAAGGCGTGATTTTTGAATGTCCTGTCCAGTAGTTCTGTTTTTGAAGGGGTTTCAAAAGCGTTGACACGTTTTGCAAAGGTTGACTTGCAAACCGCACGAGAGGCAGTAGCATCACGAGCTTCGTCAAGCTGAAACCGAAGCATGAAACACGGCCAGAATCTTAAACTCGTAAAAACCGCTAAAAGCTAAACACAACCCTAAACCGGAAATAACGCGAGAGCCACCCCCTGTCCATTTCTGTCTGAACCCTAAACCCTAAACCCTAAACCCCAAGCCCTAAAATGGCTCTTCTCCCGGCCAAGCGGAGCTTGAGCTCATCTCTGCCTTCTCTTCGTCGGCGGTTTGTTAAGGCTGTAGGGTTTTGGTTAAGGGTTTTAGGCTTCACCTTAAACTACCACAGGTCTTATTATGAATCCTAATTATGGATTTTCTAGGGATCCTACAAAAAAGGTAGGTTTTTGTCAGGTTTTGGTAGGGTTTTAGGTCAGTCTTGCAGGCGAGTAAGTCGAGCGCTTGGCATGGGTGGGGCTCCGGGTCTCTTTGCTCCTCCTGGAAACTCTTCACTTTGAGGGTCGGGGGACTTAGTAACTGGTTGTTTTAGGGACTTATAAGTACCATAACCCCAATTAGGGTCCCTTTTAGGGCACTTATAAGTCTACTTACTACCTACTTACTAAGTCCCCCGACCCTCCAAGCAGCGAGCTGCGAGTTAGGACTTGGCAGCACACAGCTCGACTCTCCCAGCAAGAACCATCTCACCGCAACCTGCTCGTTCCTCAGTTACTTCGAGCTCCCCTTCAGCCGTAGCCGTTTCAGGGTTTATGTTTTCAGGGTTTAAGGTTTAGGGAACCCTCATGTAGGGGACTTAATAACTAGAAAAGGGATCTTAAGTATCCTTTATATTATGGCTATGCTAAGGAAACCTATAAGGAATACTGCTGGGAATCCTTCAGCCCCTTGTTTTAAATACTTAACGGCCCGAACTCTTTCCATGCAGACCCAGCCGAAAACCGATGAGGAGCAGGCCTTCTACAGTTCTACCCAGACCCCAGAAGTATGCAGCATCATCGCCTTGTGTACTTGGTGTTGGGCCGAATATCTTTGCCTAGTTTTGGGGTTTAGGTACATTGAGGGGGATGGCACAGTATTGCAGTCTCTCTGGGCTGCGCTTTCTCAGTTCTCCCCCGTTCAACAGAAATACCGGTAAACCCTGTAGATCGTTGTGTTATGAAGGCATCTTTTTCGGGGTTTAGGGCATGGGTGCTCAGGGACTCAACTTCAGGGTTTAAGGATTGAGACTCTTGCTTAATTAGCCGCCGACGCCAGAAACCCTAAACCCCTACATCCACGACGCTGAAAGCGTCTTAAACCCTACACCATAAACCCTGAAACCTAAGTCCAAAAACCCTACATCACAAACTCTAAACCCTAACTGGACCATGAAAACCCCGAAGTCTTATCCAGTTTGATCATCTCGACCGACAAGTGGCCCCAACGACCTCGAGAGCTGACGCACTCAAACAAGCAATCCTGAGCCCTCGAACCCTACGGGTTTAGGGTTTAGCGCTTAGAATAGGGGAAAAGTTTTTAGGTTTGGGCTTACGGTTTAGCGGCCAGATTAGGGCGTAAGGGTACGTAGGGTTTAGGTATTTCTCAAAGCCTACCTGCATCCCCAAACCCTGCAAAGTAGCAGGTATGACACCTTAAGTATAGTGTATATCCCTTACGACGGTAGGTTTTCGGATCCCCAGGTAAAACCTCTTCCCCCTCGGGCTGACCGGAGAAAATTCGCACGTGGGTGTTGGCCCACTCCGCGTCGTCCTGGACAGCTCTGCGGAGGGGATTAGGGTTTACGGTTTATAGCCCTAGGCTGCTTAGACCTCAATACCCAAACCCTCAATGAAACCCTCATGTCCTAAATCCTAAACCTGAAACCTGAAAACCCTGCACCCGGAAATCCCAAACCCACAAAACCCAAAGCGGAAACTCAAACTTTATGGGTTTTGGTTTTGGTGCCGTCCTAGAGGCCTAGGACATAGGAGTTTGAGGATGAAGCTAAAGAGCCCATACGAACTCACGAAACAAAGACCTTCAACATGGTTATCTCTATCCTTAGGTCTAGCCCTCAGGGCGAAAACCCCGAAACCTGAGCCCTAAACCCTATCTCACGAATCAGCAACCCAAAACGCTGAACAACAGGTCCTTCTACCCTAACTACCCCCTCCCCCAGTGGATGTTTGGGGGTCAGGGTTTAGGGTTAGGGTTCAGGCTTCAAGCTTTACTTGATTTAGGAGTTGTAGGTCCCTCAATAGTAGGATCCTTATTATAAGGACCCCAAAATAAGGTACCTCCAATTTTCGGAAACTCCCATTGAGGGGTTCTTGCCCGGCCAAACGTCTGGCTTCTTGGTTTTATAGGTGTTGGTTAGAAGGGGCCCCCACCCTGTAATAGTGACCATAAGGATGATATAGGATTATATTCGGGCCCTATTATATTCTCATTATACCACTATTACAGGGTGGGGGCAGCTTCTAAGGTGTTGGGCTACTATTTTACCTACTTTCGGGGGTGTTGGTAAGGCTTCCCAACAAGGTTCAGATCTTTGTGGCATACACCATGGGGTCTGGGCTCCTTGTATATAGCAAGGGTGCATTCATGCGGGGTCCTTCTTACAGCCGGCCAGATTCTTAGGAGCTCCCATGCGGCGTCTTGCCCAGACGGCCCCGGACAGCTCCAAAAACTCTCCCTGGAGCCCCGAACTTGAAAACTGCAGACGTAACACACCCTAAGCCGCAAACCGCAAGCCCCCAAAATCCTAAACCCCAAACCCTGAAACCCCAAAAAAAACCAACAGAGGAGCCTCGTCAAGAGACGTGAGCTGGGCAGCATTAAAGAGCGGCTGGTCGTAAAGGCAGCAGCACGGGACCGGCTGCTTTGCCTGTAGCTCGTCAGTACAAGCAGGGTTCCGAGTTTAGGGTTTACTACTATTTGCTTAGGAACCCACCAAAAAATAAAAAAATATAACCCCTATATTATCCCTATAAGGAATATATATATATATATATATATATATTTTTTTTTTTTTTTTTTAAAAATTGGGTGGTTCTTAAGCGAATAGTAGTTTAGGGTTCAGGTGTGCAGGAGTAGGGTTGACAGGTCTAGGAATTAGAGCCTTAGGGCTACAGGAAACGCCAGAAAGTTGGAATATGGTTTCATGGTAGGATACCCTATAATTTACCATAAAGGGCTTAGGAGAATCATATTCCAACTTTCTGGCTTCTACTGTAGGATAGTCTACAAGGAATTTGAAGCCTGAGTCGGGTTGTCAGACTCAGCTTCTGGCATTCAGGATTTAGTCTTCAGGGTTTCAGCTGCACCGGGTTTAGGGCCTTGGGGTTTAGGCTTCACTTCGGGTTTAGGTTAGAGTTTAGGGTTCAGGGTTTAGAGTTTAGGATTTAGGTTCGAGTTTAGAGTTTAGGGTTTAGAGTTTGGGGCTTAGGTTCGAGTTTAGGGTTTAGAGTTTAGGGTTTAGGGTTTAGAGTTTAGGGTTGCTAGAAGCCCCGTGAACCCAGAGCCTCCAAAACCCCTTAATTAAGGAATATACCTTAAATCATATTAGGGATCCTACTATAATTTACGGTATATTCCTTAATTAAGGGGTTTTGGAGGCTCTGGGAACCCGGTTCTGGCCTGGAATTGGCTCAGGTGCTGCGAGTACTGCTTGGCCAACGCATCGTTGACATGCAGCTGCTTCTTGATGTCCTGCAGCTTCGAGTTCCGGTTTTGATATAAGGTATATCCCTCAATTAAGGAATATACCTAGGGTTCCTTTAAGGGATCTACAAGGGATCTATAGGGTTTAGGAGACTCCAATATCCCTTAATTAATGAATCTACCTTAAATTACAGTAGAATTTCTGATATGATTTAAGGTATATTCCTTAATTCAGGGATATTGGAGTCTCTGGGCTTGGGATTTGGATTTTAAGGGTTTAGGGCAGCTTCCGGTTCCTTCGGGTTTGGGGTTAAAGGGTTTATCTTGACCGACCAAAACCTACGTTTTGGTAGGGTCCCTCCAAAAATCGGTCTTAATTTTTTTCACAAGAACCTACAAAAAATGGTTGGGTTTGGGGATTAAGGGTTTAGGGGTTTAAGGTTTAGCGTTTAGGATTTAGGGCTCAAGGGCCATTGAATGGTTGAAGGACATTATAGGGTCGAGTGTACAAGGTTCACGAGGTTTTGGGTTTCCCGGTGCAAAGCTTGTGGATCTGGGCTTCGCGTCTACATTGCCTTGCTATGTGCTCCAGGATGACCATCAGCCGAGTTTAGTTCAATGAGGTGTCGTCCTCATGCCTATGTGCTTAGCAGCAAGGATGCAGGATGTAAATGACTTGGTGAGGAATCTTGGAATCTTCTCAGGGTTCACAAGCCAAAACTCCTACCAACTCCTATAGTTATCTCTGAAACCTGAACCACAAGCCTTAAAGAGCTAAATGCTCCAAGCCCTTAACCTAAGGCTCAAAATGACCCAAAGCCGTATATGGTATGGTCTTTGGGACCAAAATCCTTAAAATATGAGTCCTTAGAGCCTAAGGGTTAGCATAAGAAACCCTACAGTGTCTTAACCGTGAAGGCTCTACGCCCCGGGACTTTATGTCAGCCTCTCTTAGTTTCCTTGGCTTCTCCAGTGATCCATCCTGGGTCCGGTTCAAGGTTCAGGATTTATAGGGTTTAGGATTTAGGGCCTAGGTTTAGAGTTTAGGGTTTGGGGTTTTGGATTTAGGGGTTTAAGGTTTACAGGAGCTCCAATAATACACCAACTAGGATACCCAGTAACCTAAGAAGAAAAAGGCCTCTCTTTTTGGCATTGGGTAACTTTATGGGGAACCTAGGACTACAAAAAGGGAATAAGGGTACTACTGAGCATCCTAGCCAATTGAAATGAGTAGCAGGAGACCAGGATGGGACCCTTTAATACCTGAAGCCCCGCGGTCGATTTTTAGGGATACGGGAAGATGTAGCGATGCGTTTACGACACCTTAGGTAAGCCTTCAGGGTCATGCACAAGTTACATAGAGAGATTGGATGGCTCTCCGCAGCCCCACCCACATTGGGACATTCTGTTGCTGGACCAAGTACCCCCTATTCGGAGAGTGTAGGGCTTGTGTCGTGGATCGCTTCTGCGGCTGCAACGTATCGACAAGGCCCCGTAAATCCTAAACCCGAAACCCTACAGTAGAAGCCCAAAAGTTGGAAACCCAATAGCCTTAATCCTGAAGAGTAATGTATAGGGAATCCCAGCACTACTTGGCCTTAATCCGGTTTCCAACTTTGCGGGGTTTACGGTAAACGATTTCCCTTGCTTAAACCCTGCTGTCCTTGGGCTCCAGGCGACAAAGCTCTTGGACCAAGTTCTGCGAAAGCTTTCGGCTGTGGAGCTCAATGCACACTACAAGGCTTACATGTCTACACGATCATGGAACACGTTTTGAAGTACTGGTGTTGAAATCAGAACGTAATGGAGAGGGTTTAATGGCCTCGCTCATTGACATGTACAAGCACGCCCCTACTGGGTATCATGTGCTATGCAGTTCATACCTGCGGGTGTAAACCACACAATTCTTCAATCTGAATGTTAGGGTCCTTGCTCTGCAGATCCTTACCCATCCTATGGCCCAAACCGTGAGACCAGAAACTCGTATTCGCTACCGCTCATACGTCCAGAGGCGAGGGACTTGTTAAAGTAGGGTTGTAGTTAGCTCATCTACACCTGAAATTAAATGTAGACTTCATTAAGGCACTTATAACCATACTTAGAACATTTCAGTACAAGATCTGACTTTTAAGTACTGCTCGAAAATGGTACTTATAGCCATATCGAAACCTGTCCGATGAAGGTCACCCCTCCGGGGTCCGAAAGGCTCAAGAATGATTTAGGATTGAGGGAAAGTATTAATTCGTGTTAGTAATCGCGGAAATTTTCCCTTCTTCCCTCAGCAATGGAAGCGCTGTTTTCGTGGAGGCCGATGCAACGGTCACTTTGCAGGAGGACAGGTTGGATCAGGAGGCCGAGCTATGAGGCCGGGCTGCCAGGCACAGTAACTTGTGCGGACAGGGCTTTCGTACCCAAAGGCTCCATGTACCTTTATAGTAGATAGCTAAGCCTTCAAGGGGTCCCTATTGAGGTACTTTAAGGCCTAATGTATATACTATATGGGAGTTTCCGAAAATGGGGGACCCTAATATGGTACCCGAAATAGTAGGATCCTTATTATAAGGCCCCTAGATTAAGGTACCCCTAATTTTCGGAAACTCCCATATGGGCACATGGAGCCTTAGGGGTAGGGCTCAGCCCTGAAGCTCGGGGGCCCACCCACTCCAAGCAAAAGATGTAGACCAGCATCATCCAGCACGACAGTGACCGGCGCATGCCGGCGGAGCCTTACCCTAAGGCTCAAAATAGCCCCAAAACCGCATATAGTATGGTCTTTGGGCCCAAATTCCTTAAAACATGAGTCCTTACCTGGACCCGCAAAGTATGTAGAATAAAAGCATTTTACAGGTTTTGGGCCATTATTTTACCTACTTTTGGGGGTCTAGGTAGAGCTTAAGGGTTGAAGAGTCAAAGCAAAGTGGGACGCCTCGGCCCCTTAGGCTGCGTCGACAACTGCCAGGGAGGTCCAACGGTTTAGGGTTTGGGGTTTAGGGTTTGGGGTTTAGTGTTTTGGGTTTTTTTTATTAGACGGCCCTTTTCTCCCGTTCAAGCGTCGCTGAAGTGTTTTGGCCTTAGGGTTTAGGGTTTAGGGGGTGCGGTACTGCCCCTTCCCTGCGCAGGGTTTCTCGGCGCCTGTGGGTCCCAGACCCATCCTGCTCATCCTGACACACATACCCGCCCATGCATCGAAGGCAGCATAGTCGTGAAAGCCAGCGTCTGCCCTGCCCAACACTCCAGTTTTTACAAAGGAAGACTCAAATAATTTCTGATAAGCCAAAACTCACCAGAACAGAATGCTATCTTGCATTTCTACTATCCAGAAAACCACTGAACGGCATTCCCGCATAGTGCCTTTAGAAGTCTTGTCGAATATACCCTCACTTGCCTCATTCCAATGATCAGGTGCCGGCCGTAAAGCTTGAAGCCCTGGACCTCCAGACCCCAAAGTCTGCACTAAACCTATAAGCACCTGTACTACCCTAAACCCTAAACCCTAGGTGCCTGAGTTTTGCTCTGCAGCCGCGGTGTGCTTCGCATCGCAACCTCCAGGACCGGCTTTGAATGGAACCTGACGGGGCGGTCCCTTTTGGGCTTAGGAGTTTAGAAGGAGTTTAGTGTTTCGAGGTTTCGTGGTGTAGGGGTTTAGGGCTCCGGGAGTCTCTGCACGAAGTGGCGGGCTCTGAACATAGTGGCCTCAATAGACAGAAATGTGCAGGAGGGATCTTAAACTGCATAAAGACACACACTGACTATAAGTGATAAGCGGTTGTCCTGTCAATTGCTCACACCGCTGCGTTGCGCTCTAGTCCTTTGATTGGAACCCCTTGAGAAAGCATCTCAACCGATCTCCTGGAACCTGGTCGTGCTTAAGTGCCTCTTGTCGTGGGGTATGCTTTAGGCGGTGTAGGGTGTAGGGTGTAGGGTTTATGGTTTGGTTTGGAGTCAAAGTTTGGGATTACTGTAATGCCTCTGACTCTAAAGTCAAGTGCCTGTGTAGTAAGTATTCGATGCAAACATGTATATACATGTGTGTATGTATATATATATATATAGGCATAGATCTACATACACACCCACACATAAATACATAAACTGGCGGGGAATCGAGGTTCCAGTTTTGAAGTTCCACGGCTGAGGTCAAGCTATCTGCAGTCTCGTTCTTCGCGTGGAATGGGGGAATGGATTATAGGGAGTGCTACAGGGGACCTTATACGGGACTATCATAATCATAGGGATCCCTTCCCCCATTCCCTACTAAGAACCAGACAGTGCAGGGGTTGGGGGGCATATTATACAATCACTACGATAAGGAACCCTGGGAAAACGGTCGGTAACTATATGTGGTTGTCAAAACTATGGTCCCTGTTTGGGTCCCTAGTATAATACAGCACCTTGCTTTTAGGGTACCCAGAAAGGGACCCTGATTCTGACAACCACCCAGACCCTAAACCCTAAACCCCCTAACCGCACCTGTAGTATATATCTCTCTCGGTTCAGGGCCGAGGCTTCCCCGATAAAAAGGAACAGACGGAAGCCCTCATCTCGGGTTGTTCCGTAGGGGCTGAGTACCCGAGCCCAAGGGTTTAGGGTTAGGGTTTCGGTTTAGGGTCTAGGGTTTAAGATTAGGATTAACCATGGTAGCATTGTATAAGGCCTAAAAGTGGAAAGGTTATATACCTACTCAGCAACTAAGGTTTTGATTACGGTACAATGTCCTTTATTCACCCCCTTAAGTTCCATTATAATAAAAGAAAAGCATAATTCCTAAGAGCATTAAAGTCTTGGGGTTTTGGATCCCCTTCAAGAACCCCCCATAGGTCTCTTAAAGGAACCCTTTTCTGGGGGGGTTGAGGACAAGGCTTGGCTTGCTCTGGAGGTCCTCTAGCATCCTCCGGATGCTTCCAAGCCATCTTCAGAACCTTCTGCAGGTTTCCGGATTTTGGTCAGGCTTTAGGGTTTAGGGTTTTCTATGGCTTAGGGCTTAGGGGGTTTTTCTGCTTTAGGGTTTAGGAGCTTTATGGTTTAGGGGTTTTGGGGCTTGGGGGTTTTATGGCTTAGGGTTTAAAGTCTTTCTGGTTTAGGGTTTAAGGGTTTTTATGGTTAAGGGTTTTTATGGTTTAGGGTTCATTAGGGTTTAAGGTTGAGGGCTTGGAGATCTCTCCACCTTGCGGTCCATCGGCCATGATTCAGCTGCCAAAGCCGGCAAAAGCTCATTGCGAACGTAGCTCTCGAATATTTAGGGCTTAGGGTTCGTTCAGGGTTTAGGGTTTAGTTTAGGGTTCGTTCAGGGTTTAGGTTTTGTTTAGGAATTTGAGCCCTGACTCGCAGTCGGGGTCATTTCAGCTGCACGATGGTCGCACCATGTCGCACCACTGGTGCTCGCGGCAACCCAAGAAACGTCTCTGGTCGGTGGCAGACTTCCTGTGCGAATGAACTTGACCGTTCTGAAACTGCGCTGGTAAAGTTTGCGCCAGTGCCGGTTCCATCTTCGAGGAATAGTCTTGGCCAAGCCGCTGGGTCGTCCGATTTGAGGGCTGGGTGGCAAAATTTTAGAGTCTGCGCATGTAAGGGTGTAGGGGATGTGTGATAGTAGTGCCACAGTTGCTGAGAGGGAGCAGGGAGGCTATCAAGAAGACCCGGTTCTAAAATGAAGGTTCCAGATTACATCCTGAACCCTCACTGTAAGCACTGACCCTGCGAGAAGAGGTGCCTTGAAGCAGATGACAGGAGGACGAGCATGGCTTCAGTCCCCCCCACAAAAAGCAATTTGTAGGCTTTCTGAAGTTCGGGACTCCTTCGGGGTTCCCTTGATAAGCAGTCCATCAAGGTGGCTTTCTTTTCTGATAATTGCCTTGCTATGCCATGGAGGGTTGCATTGTGCAGGGTACTGGCTGGGTCGGTGGGTAATGGTAGGGTGTTGGGCTTCGAAGCTTTGAAGGAGGTCCAGGCTTCTGCTTCAGAGGCTAAAATCGAAACCCTCGTATCCTCAAGACTTTTGAATACGCGCCCATGAACATATTCACAGAGTATTGTGCATGAATCTGCCCTATGCTTGTCTCTAGTGATGCACTTGTACGTTGAATCTAGCATTTGAGAGCAAGCTCAGAAAGGCAGGGTCATAGGTTAAGTACTAGATAATGACATGCGTGGGGATTTGATCTCGATTGTGTTGCTGCTCTCCCCACCAGAGCTGTAATGAATATAGGTGTGGCTGGCTTGCACTCTCCACAGACTAACATGAAGAAGGCATGTCAAGCGAAAAATAGACGTCGGAAAATTCCGCACACTTCTTCAGCAGGCGTTTGAGAGATTTCAAGACACTTCTGAAAACCTTGTACTTCCCACCGGAACGTTTCTCACCTCCCACGCAAGCCCCTTCACTACTTCCAGGACCAACACCTGATCGCAAAAGCGATGCCACGAATAGCACAGGTGTGCGCAGGTCATTCCGGCACGCGTCCTTCATCGCACCGATAAGGCTGTCCTCATCGGCCTTAGAGCCAATTAGCTCCTTGCAAGTTATGCGAGCGCATCCCTTAGTGGACTTAGGCACGGCGTAGCCATTGCCCAAGCCACAGAGGTCAACAATCATGCGGTCAGGCTTTCGTCCACCAGCCTTCGACGGCATTGCTACCAATCTCCCATCGCCCGTTGCCTGAAAATTCAAGGCCTTAAGCAATCTCCTGGAGATTTGGCTAGTCAACTCGCATTTATCAGATCGATCCTTAGCGTCCGAATCGGTCATGTGCAAATGTTTGGACGAGCACACGTCAGACGACTTAGGATGCAACGCGACGTTTGCGGCAATGTACTCCCATTCATCCTTGCAGTAGCCGAGCTCAACGGCGGTTCCGGGAGATACAGGATCCCGAAAGGTATAACGTTGCCCGTGAGTGCATCCTTGGATCTTGATGCTCTTCCACATGGCATCTTCCTGAAGTCCCTTGTACTGCTTGGTTTCCTGGACTTGTACTCGAGGAGGTACTTCGATGATGATTTGGAACCCCCACGATGCCGCTCTGCGCGCAATTCTTTGGACGACCTCCCCCCATGGGTAGTCTGTCCGCAATTTGGCCCTTTCAGGGTTGTCAGCGATTTTCCGACTCAGCCACGAATTCTTGCCCAACACCCCTGCGCCAATGAAGATCACGGAGTTAGGGTTGTTTTTCCTTGCTTCCACCACATCGAAGAGGTAGGCACACATGGCGTCGTCAACTTCTCGCCCCATACTCAGAACATTCACTTGCAACCCAGGGTCGTAGTGAGAATCGGGAGCATGCTGCGCAATGCAGTCCTTGCCAGGAGCATACTCATTCCACCAGTTCTCCTCATCGACTCCTACCAATGTCCACACCGTCACTGCCTTTGGAGCATCTTTGATAGTGATACGGTATTTCCAACGGCTGTAAGGATTCTTGTAAGTATGGACCAACCCTCCATCGTGGTCGAGGAATTGGATCACCAGGCCCTCCTTGGGTTTGTTTTCGGCGAAATTGACCACGTGAGGCACAATTGCTCCATCATATCCTTGATATTCCCTTTTCTGTTCAGCCGCATCATGCCATACATCCTCGTACACTGACGACCATTGGTCATAGCCGAATTGGGAGGCTTGACTTTTGGACTGGCCGTTGAAACAAAGAGGTAATGTAAAGCCCTGGTACCCCCCATGGATGGCACGCGCCAGTGTGACAACCACCGCTCGCCATTTGGCGGGCAGGGCGCGCACATAAGACTGGCCCAAAGGCGGTTCAGGAGGAGGCAAAAACGGCGGCGCAAGGACGTCCGCAATAGCGGCTGGGCGCAAATGCCCCCGTACCGGATGGTACTGAAACACAGCACGCTCCACATAGCGGTCGAACTTGCCCGGTTGATCAAGGATAGCAGCACGGTCCTCCATTTGGTGCCACTGCCCTTCACGAAGAATCCAAGTCGACCGAAGGTAGCGACCAGGCGGCAACGCGGAAGGCGGCCCCCGCAGCATGCGCGGGAACTTGACAACCAGGATGGGGTCCACACTGTCATGTTCTTGCAAGCCTTCCTTACTCGACAATCCAGCGCGATACAACACCTGAGGGAGGATCGGCGTCTGCGTGTAAGGAAAACAAGGCACCTCGCTCTTGAACGAGTAATGCTGTTGGCCCTTCTCATCCGTGCTTTGTGTATGAGTAGGGCGCATCAGATCCATAATCTCTTGGGAGCCAATGAGGGCCGGCGGAAAAATGTTGATGAGCTGACACGCATGTGTCCAGGACACAGAATCCTTGAACGACTTGGTGTGTATGTCCGCTGACATCTTGGCAGTGACCTCATAGGCAAGAGAAACGTAACCTTCCTGAAAGATAGAATGCATCCATCCAATGCAGATGCCGTGGGTACGTTCCAAATGACGCATAGTCGGATTCTTGCCCGTGCGAATCACCCCGATCATGGTCTGGTTGTCGTCGTAGAAGACGAAGTTGGGGTCTTGCCTCCCAAGCTGCTGCCACAACGTGATAGCAGGCAATCCAAGACGTGACATGGCAAAGTCGGCCGCGACAATCTCGGCCTCAGGTGTGGAATGACTCAAGCATCCCTGCCTTTTGCTAAGTCCCGCCAAGGGAAATCTTGTGTGAGAACCTTGAATGTGCAAGTGAGCACCGGAGGTAGATTTCAAACTTTCTCCACAACCTGCATAGTCCGCATCTGCAAACAGCCCGATGGACGAGTCCTCCAAGGAGTTCCCGACCCATCCAATCATCATGTGATGTTTGGACTGGTGCACATAGGCCATGAGATGATGAAGAAGAGCATCCTCCTTCTTGGTCCATTTCGTGATCTTGCGTGCGAGATTGTTGATACTGCGCAGAAGATCAAAGCGGCAAATGCGCGCGGCATAAAGCAATTTCATGAGAATGCTTGCTGCCTGCGGAGCAAGTGCGCCGCGATTAGCCTCGTTGATCTCCTCTTCCTCTGGCGCCTTGGGAATAGGTGGAGGCGGAACAAGCCGACCATCCTTATCAACAGGCATGGTGTGTCCACACCACGTGCATCGATGGCTTTTACCTGACTGTGCCGGAGCGCGAGCTGGGTGATTCTTAGTCTCCTCAGCCGGACTCGGCGATGGTACCGTCTTGAATTTTGTCGGATCGAACCCAGTCACGTCGCAGTACTTCTTGACTGTCATGTCCAGGTACGTCTCCATGTCGTAGGTAACGGTCTGCACCTTCGTTTTGTCATGCAACGTTGCCTCGCCCTTGGAGATGCGACAACCCAGATACAAACCTAGTGGCGTTTCCTCTTCCAATCGAAGTTCTTGGCGCAGCATGTCCCAACCCTTGGGCAGGCTCTCTTTGGGCCCTGCCATCTTCCAGGGCCTTCTAAGTGATGGGTTTGGGGTCTACATTTTTTACAGTAGCGGAAAGTCCCTTAACTGATGTGTTTTCTGTCCATGGGAATGCTTGCTCGGCAACTGTCATATTGGGCTTCACTAACTGTCATATTCAGGCTCAGCCGGTGCTTGTGCAATAGTTTTGCATTTTTCACCAGGTGTAGGGTGCCATGGAAGATGAGCGAGCGTCGCGGGAGGGTGAAGTCTGTGCTGTGGTGGAAAATCAGTTCATTTAGCATTCCTTCATCCGCGTGCCGCGGCCGCCGGATCCCAGAATGTTGCGAGCCAGGCTGGTCGCCTCTTGACTGTAGCCAAAATCAACAAAAACCGCATTTTTAATTGCTCCGTCGAAGACCGGACCGATAAGATCGAAACCCACCCCCCGCCCGCAGCCCAGGAGCTGAACGCCCGGAACGCTTTGATCCGGGGGCGGCTCATCCGACAGGCCCGTACCGCAAACAAACCACCCTGGCAAAAAACCGGCTGCGTGCAGTAGCCACTGCCGAAACCCAGCCGAGTCCAGGCAGGGCGTGCGAGGTTCATTCGGGATGTTCGATGTCGGTATGTGGATTCTGAGTGAGCCTTATATACGAGCGACCTTTTTAAAAGAACTATTAATGAACCACGCCCGACCGCGTGCAGAATCCAGCTCTTTCTACAAAGCGGCGCCGGGTTGAGGCATGGCTTCGGGCTTCGTTGTATTTTCGTCCTCCAGCCTGTGCGTGCCCATGTCCGCAACTGAGACCTCTATACTGAAACTCCGGCACCGCAGCAAGCATGTTCCACTGGTGATGCAACTGCAACGCCAGCAGGTCGCTTCAAGTTCCGCGTCGGGTTAGGGGTTCAGGGTTAAAGATTTCGTTGTTTTGCTGTTTGTTTTTGCGGTGGGTTTTCAGGGTTAGGGTTGCAGATTCGGGCTTAAAGGATGGATTCGGACGCAAGGCTTAAGTTTGACGCTATATAATCAGGAAATAAAGTTATTTTAAGTTTGCAGCTATAGACTCAGGAAATAGAGTTATTCTAAATCCCCATCAGCCCCCAACCCGAGCCTTAAACCTTTGCACGCAGCATATGCCCACTACACTTAACTCGATCTCTTAGGGTTTGGGGTTTGGGGGTTTAGGGTTTTTGTTGTCGTGGTGCTGTCGCCCGCAAACTTTGGTCTGAGTAACCGGCCAAGGATCTGGTCTTCATTACCGAGCATCGAGAAGCTCCGAAAGCCACTAAATCGCAAGACTGCAAAAACCGCCTTTGCTGCAAGGGCCTTGAATCACCAAACCTGCAGCCCAATCCCTGACGCTTGAAACCCTCGAAGCAACAGCCCTACATCCACGCCCCTCTGTGTGGCAGGAGCAAAAGACGTCAGATC